GTGTCTGGGAACACGAGGGGATAGCGATCCCATAGTGCGTAGAACGCGGGGTCACCAATCTGGCTGGTGTAGCCAGTAGAAACACTGTAACATACAGATATCTCTTGTATTTCGCCACAAAATCGAGACATATATAATTTTACATACGAACTTACTTATCTAGTATTGCACACATGTTGGCGAGAACATCGAATGTAATAAACGAATACATATGGTTTTTAATATACACATAGCCAATGCAGTTGTCCAAACAATACAGCAGTTAAAGCGAACGGAACGTTAAAAGGGGGGCACATAACTTAATCGAAGGCTTTAGCAATTTAGAGACTGGTAAAAGCGACATCTCTTAACAAAACTGTAACTCGCGGTTCACAGCATCTAGCGGCGACCGGCAGAAGTACATGGGCCTAGCGGTGACCGGCAGAAGTACATGGCTACAGGATCAGCCGCATGACGCTGGTCAGCATGTGCTGCACCAGACTTGGGCCGTAGAAGGCGCTAGTAACATCTGGAGTATCTGCCACTTTGACTTGGGAGTCTTTTGCCGCCTCCTCGATTTGACGACCGAACGGCGTTTGCGTACCGGCTGCGGGGAGGTTATCGTCTGCTGTCATATGGAACTCGTGACATGACTCTGATGCCACCTAGTCCAGATGCATCTCCTGCCGTTCCTATCGTATGCTGTCATCTAGAACTCGTGACATGATGACTCTGATGCCACCGAGTGCAGATGCATCTCCTGCCGTTCCTTCGACACAGCGTCAGCAGACAGAAGTTTTCAAATTTTCGAAGGTAGGCAATGTCTGCCCTTACTACAGAATATTTGTCGCCGTGCTACGCTGACCGCGCTGGCGGCGATGTCTTACATTCTCTGTGGAAAAGGCTGGACAGTCCGTGTCATGGTGGCACACGTCATTCCCCGTGATCCACCCAAGACGGCCTCATGACCTCATGACCTTTCCCGTAGGAGAACCGCTTCACGTGCGGCTGATGGCATCTACGGCGACTTGCGCCCAGCCACACTCCTTGACACTGGATTTGGCCAGGTCCAGTGGGTGCGCACCATCCCACAGGCAGGGGACGCAAGCCTCCTCTGATCGCGCCGCGAGTTCTGGCTGTGAGGATCGGAGTTTGGTCATGAATTTGCCCGGAACGTCGGCCCCGTGATACTGGCCATCAGTACATATGGCCGAGAGCTTTCTTGTTTCTTTCACCTCCGACTGAAGCCACCGTGTTACACGCCCGCCAGTCCATGACCATCGTACTTCTGCACAACCGGCGAACCCACCACAAAAGGCTGGATCAGACTGCTTCACGTTGACATCAGTTCTTTACCCATAGCAACTGGGACCAGAAGTTCCTTTGAACTTACTTCTGTTGCCAATCAGTTCTCAACCGACAGCAACTGGGCGGCGGGCATTGAACTCGCCTCTGATATTACCCTCACTTTGCTGCTTTACTGCAGGGCCTTGAGCACATTTCCTAGGCGAGGGGGCTCTTTCGTCATACGTGATTAAATAGGAGAACTCCCAGCGGTGCACATGAACGGAAGGGACAGACGTGATCTGGGAAAACGTTTGGTCTTGATCTGGGAAGGACGGACAGTTAGTTATGAGATATTTCTGTAGAGGATTTGGCGATAAAAGCTTCTTTAATTGTCCATAATTTTACCAACACATCGATCACGCAGGTCAGCTTACGTCATCACTGTCACACCATTTACGTCATCTCTTTCTCACACCATCTGTCACGCACACTGCTTTTATTCTGTCACGCACACTATTTCTGTTTTTATACTTTAACTTTTTACTTGCTCAACAACTATCATTCTCGCCCCCTTTCTTGCACTGTCACGCACTACTTCGGAGCCAACTTCAGGGGCGCGTTAGTCTGCAGGTACTGGGCCATGGCTGTAAGAACCACCTGATCACCCTGTGAAGTCAGATGGACCCCATCTCGCGAAAAAATAGTGCGGATTATCGTAGGCTTTCGAAGGGAGCCGATGATGGCCACCTTTGGTCCTCGGTCAACTCCACCGCTACAGATGGTGCATGGGTAGTTCAATCCCTTATCCTTGCCGGGGCAGCTGGACAAACTGTGTTGACAACTGCAGGCTGTGCACAGTTTCAGTTCGGCCAACCGTGCACGACGTTTTGTTGCGTCCTGAAACGAGTTACACTTCAGCATCGAGTGTGTGCCCTGACACAGTTTGCATGGTTTCAGAGCCTGCTTCTGTGTATCAGTCTGAAATGTGCTGATGTTCTTCATGGGTGCATGCTGAGTTGTGTGAGCAGGTGTCTTCGACTTTCCGGTCGGAGCAGTTTGCTTTGACGGCTGAGAGGCTGAGTGTGGTTTCTTTTCTGATAGTCTCTCAAGTGTTCGGAGGATGTCACCATAGCATTCCAGCAACTGTGCTGTTGTGAGTGTCATTGTGTCCATCCGTTTTTTGAAGTTTGTTGGTAACTTCTCCCATATAGGAAACTTATGATCCGGCTGCCTAGTGAGTCGCCATCTAGAGCATCATACCCAAAGGTTTTCAACTCATAGATGGATGTGCGAGCTGTGTTCATGAACTTGCATACAGCCTCTAGGTCACGTGCCGGAGGGTCTTGTAGTTCGTAGATCTTTCTGATGTGATTTTCAACAACCTTGTCTTTGTTCAAAAACTCCTTCTTCAAGAACTGCACCGCCAACTCGTAGTTGTTGCTGTCATTGGAGAGGTGCTTGATCTGGTCCAACGCACTGCCTCGTAGGTAGGTCTTCAAATACAGCAGCTTGCTTCCTCCACCGATTTTACTGTTTTTCTCAATCAACTCCTCGAAGAGTGTGAAGAAGTCATTGAATTCCATGACATCTGCTTGTGTGCCACTGAACGTGGGCAGTTTTATTTCCTTCAGTTTAGCTGTTGTTTCTGTAGCGCTGGCACCCTGCACATCAACATCAGTCTTCTTCTTGATTTTCTCCATAGCTGTTTTCATCTCCAGTTGGTACTTTACCTGTTCGGCCAACTCTTCTTCATATCCTTCACCTTCTCCATCTTCATCAGCCAGCTCCGTAGCAATTGACATGTCATATTCCTCTACTTCCTTCAGCTTTTGTTGTATGCTCGACACACAATCACTTGCCACGTTTGGATGTACTTCCTCTTGCTGCAGGCTCTTGAGCGTTAGAGTGATAACACGTTTGACATGACCTCGTTTGACCTTCAAACTTCTCAGGTCTGGCTTTGAGTCTGTCATTGTGCCTTAACGTTGAGATAACAAGAAAAAATACAATTATGGCGCAGGAAGAGCAATGTTACCACAATCTTGTGAATAACAATCTTATAACTACCGGGTGATCATTTGGGAATGAGATAAAGTAAGTGGCACGTGCAGATGTGTATTCAATAGCACACCAGACAAAAGACACGTCATTAGACTCGTCATCGTGGGACATTTTGTACTGCACACTATTATACACCTGCAAGCCACTGTTCATCTACAGCAGGTGCTCAAAGTGGCCACCCCCTTCTGAGCGGCACAGCTCAGCCCGACGGCGTGTGTGACGCGCCATCTTTCGCAGCTGCTCTTCGTCCATGTTGCGGGCGAAGTCCTCAACCAGTTCCTTCAGCTGTTCCAGCGTTTGGGGCTCGCTGCGCACGATCTGAGCCGTCACCAATGACCAGAAACAAAAGTCCAGACAAGACAGGTCGGGACTGTACGGCGGCCATCGGTGTTCACTGTTCCGGGAGATGACGCGGCCGCCGAACTTCGAGTGGAGGAAGTCCATCACGGGAGCAGTGACGTGCGGCGGCGCGCCGTCCTGCTGGAACCAGTACTGGTGGCGCGTCGCCCGAGCCTTCATCGCAGGCCACACCACCGTCTGCAGCATCTCCAGGTAGGCGTCGCTGTTGACGGAGCCAGTGAACCAGTGAACTGGCAGGCACTTCCCATCCACCACGCCCACCCACGCCATCACCTTCTACCCCTGGGCCTTCTTGCATGGCACGAGCTTGTTCGGATTCTCTGGCGACCAGCACACGGTGTTCTTCTTGTTTGGAGACGGATGCAGAACAAACCACTTTTCGTCACTCCAGAGTACACGCTCAAACCACTCCTCATCATGGGTTAGCCAGAATTCTCAGGAGTCCATCCTGGCCATCCGCGTCATCTCCCGGAACAGTGAACACCGATGGCCGCCGTACAGTCCCGACCTGTCTTGTCTGGACTTTTGTTTCTGGTCATTGGTGACGGCTCAGATCGTGCGCAGCGAGCCCCAAACGCTGGAACAGCTGAAGGAACTGGTTGAGGACTTCGCCCGCAACATGGACGAAGAGCAGCTGCGAAAGATGGCGCGTCACACACGCCGTCGGGCTGAGCTGTGCCGCTCAGAAGGGGGTGGCCACTTTGAGCACCTGCTGTAGATGAACAGTGGCTTGCAGGTGTATAATAGTGTGCAGTACAAAATGTCCCACGATGACGAGTCTAATGACGTGTCTTTTGTCTGGTGTGCTATTGAATACACATCTGCACGTGCCACTTACTTTATCTCATTCCCAAATGATCACCCGGTATATGATCTGGTGAAGGAACTATCAATCACTTGCGACAGTCCAGAGATCTTCAACCAGTGAAGCGACACGATCAGCAGCTCGGAAAGTGTCAGTTTGTGAGTGTGAATGAGACGACACAATCAGCTCGGATAGTGTCAGTTTGTGAGTGTGAATGTGACACGAGCAGTCAGTCACAGAGTATGTTTGAACTGAACCACTTCAGGTTCTTCTCGTTTGATAATGACGAACAATATCACCCAAGGAAATAGTTGACACAGAGGGAAGTTTTGACGATGAACAGTGAGTTACCATGAGTTTTACAATTTTACATATGTAAGGCGCCTAGTAACGCCCCCCAGCAGTGTGTTCAGGGACCACTGCTTCTTACAGCAGGCCATCAGGGGTGTTGACTGTTAAGTGTTAAGTGCTCCCTCACCAGTCGGAGGGTACCGATGATGGCCTGACGTTACTCCGCGGTCAGCTCCGCCGCCACGTAGATGGACGGGTAGAAGTAGCAGGGCAGCACTCCGTCATCGAGGCGCTGCTCCAGCCAGTCCAGGAGCCGGTGCATGCCGTGCGTGATCCACAAGCCACCGGGCGTCTCCTGAGCCATCCAGAGCGCTGCCGTCTTGATGAAGTACGACTTTAAGTCTTCGATGGCCATCGGGCGTTTCCTGGGCCATCCAGAGCCCCGCCGTCTTGATGAAGTACGACTTTAAGTCTTCGATGGCCATCGGCCGTCTCCTGGGCCATCCAGAGCGCCGCCGTCTTGATGAAGTACGACTTTAAGTCTTCGATGGCCATCGGCCGTCTCCTGAGCCATCCAGAGCGCCGCCGTCTTGATGAAGTACGACTTTAAGTGGTCGATGGCCATCGGCCGTCTCCTGGGCCATCCAGAGCGCCGCCGTCTTGATGAAGTACGACTTTAAGTCTTCGATGGCCATCGGCCGTTTCCTGGGCCATCCAGAGCGCCGCGGCGAACAGCCGTCGCAGCTGCCGCGGAAAGGCGATGACGGCCGCCTCCGCCATGGCCCGGTGCCAGTGCTGGCCGTCTTCCAGCAGGCCCAGCGCCGAGCAGGCCTCCTGAAAGGTGGCGCAAAGGCGGCCGTCCACTGTCCGTAGATCCGCGTAGGACCGTGGCCCAGGCACCTGGTGAAGCAGCACGCGCAAAAAGAAAGACTCCAGCGCGCGGGCTCACACTGAAGACGAGCCCAATGGCTTGCGCGACAAAGATGCCGGCTGCCTCTGGGTGTGGTGCGCCGCCACCGCCAGCTGCGCGTCGGCTGCTGCCAGGTGAAGTAGCGGGGCACCTGGTGGTAGAGCAGAGTGGCTGCGAAATCATCTTCAGCACATAGCTTGAAGAAGCTGGTTAGCTTTGTGTCCACCCCGCGCTGCACCACCTCGTCCAGCCTGTCGCCGGCGGCGAAGCGCAGCGGCTGGTCCTCGCCGCCCAGATGCACCGGCAGCTGCTCCACCGTCGGCGCGTGGTCGTGGACCGGGTAGGTCAGCAGACGCCAGGCCGCCTCCATGGCGCTGAGGTAGCGACTTTGCTGGTAGGTGGCGATCTCGTCCACCACTTCCTCCCCATCCGCAACCCTGAACATCACCTGATCGGCGCCCTTAGTGACATATTTTATCACATATTTTATGCACGTGAAGGCGTGAGTTATTATTTCCACATTCACGTGGCAGTCCAGGGCGCGGCTGAGGAGGGGGTTATAGGGGACGACCCAACGGTTGTCAATGACAACCTGGCGGCACTGCCTGTCGAGCACGACGGTGCGACCACCGTCCGCTGGGCTCCGGCGGCGGTACTGGGGGTACCCATTGTCGGTCACCGCGGTGACAGCGGCGAACGACTTGGGGTACCGTTTGCTGCACACGCCGTCCGTCATGCAGGAGGCTGCCGGCCGGTGGGCGCCGCACGGGCCGTGCACCATCTTGGTGGTCACGGTGGCGTGCAGCTCTGGCTCCGCCACCGGGTCGGGGATCTCGGCCGACACGAACTGGTCGATTGTGTCCGGCCGCGGCTTATCTTCGGGGTCGAGCCAGAGAATAATGTGCGCGTGTGGCAGGCCGCGCTTCTGGGCCAACAAGTTATTACGTGCGCATACCGTAATACGTCGTGATCTATTTCACACAAGAAATAATGGCGATCCGCATTCCAGGTCTGCTCCTATTTATTCTTTGTTTGTTATAAAGAGCTACAGGAGAAAAAGCCTGTTCCATTGCAGTGCTAAGTATACAAATACAATAAACTACATATTCTAAACGTCGGAGAAACGTGTGCTTCACGTGGCACGGCTGTGCGGCGTGAAAGTCGTGACCTCGCGCTCCGGCCCGGTCTCGCCACCGCGCTCCCAGGGTCGGGCGAAAGTCATCTCGCGCTCGGTCCCGGGTTCACCGTCACGTCCCGAGGGGTCGGGCGATGGTCGGTCAGTGGTTAGTGCGTGCGTAGGTTGCTGCCGCCTCGCCGGTGCGTGCGGGCGGTACGGTCTCACCACGGTACCGGCCTCGGTCCTCACCGCCGCTGCGTGGTGTTGCAGCGAGCCTTGCGCCGCCAGAGGCAGTGATGCAGGTCGCATCCACCGCGATCGTGGCAGGGTCACCGAAGGTGGCGACGCCGGTCGCGCCCACCGCGACCGTGATTTTCTCACATTCCTCCCTTTTTTATGAAGGCGGAATAGCTCCAACCTTCGCCTTTTGTCATAAACTCTGTCAGGACTGTGCACAAACTTTCATCTAATCGCTAATACAGACTTTCTCCCCGGTCAGTAAATTACGTGCGACAGCCTATTCAAATGCACTGAATTACATTCACTTTTAATACATTGAAATACATGGATTATCAAATACATTGAAACCTCAAAATCTAAAGACATTCCCAACTAATTTTTTTGAAAATTTGTCATGACAACTTTCAGCCGATTTGCCACAGCAATATCATGCATTTTATGATTCTACTCAAATTTTACGGTTTCAAAATCAAACTTACATAGCCTCTTCTTCCATCGAGAGCTCCAGATTCAGTGTCTGGTTCCTCTGCGCTGCGGTGGAACAGCTGGCGGGAGATGCTATGTCCATCGCCGGCGTCAGGTCACATCAGCTGGCTGTGTACCAGGTTCCCTGACAAGCAGATATAATCCGTTGCTGTGATAGAATTTACATTCGCCACCTTCTCCAAAAAATGACGTTTTTGATGTAGACTTTTGAAATAAAGACATAGAAGTGATGTTCGGTTCACCAAACTGGTCAAGTGTCGTATCAGTTACCTTCATTTTCTCCTTTTTTCTTTAAAATATGGTACATGGAACACTAAAAAGAAGTCTGTGACTAAGAAGGAGATAAACGTCACTGATACAGTAAACATATGCATTTACAAAAAGATCATAAAGAGGAAACTATTGATATAGCTATAATTTAATTTTTTACTCACCTTGGTGTGGATGTCACCAGCTTTGGTCGCTTTTGTTTTGGAGTCGTCAAGGCATCGGTGGCTGTATGACAGCTGCAGAGGCAGCACGGCGCCTGCTGTCTCGAACCCTGCTCCTCAATGTCCACCTAGGAGACAAAATGATCAAGTAAGGCATGCAATTCTGTCGCCTGACCTCATCGTGTTTCAATGCAAAGCTGCCAATGTAAAGGCACGAGATCCACATTCACGTGGCAGTCCAGGGCGCGGCTGAGGAGGGGGTTATAGGGGACGACCCAACGGTTGTCAATGACAACCTGGCGGCCCTGCCTGTCGAGCACGACGGTGCGTCCATGTCCGCTGGGCTCCGGCGGCGGTACTGGGGGCACCCATTGTTGGTCAGCGCGGTGACAGCGGCGAACGACTTGGGGTACCGTTTGCTGCACACGCCGTCCGTCATGCAGGAGGCTGCCGGCCGGTGGGCGCCGCACGGGCCGTGCACCATCTTGGTGGTCACGGTGGCGTGCAGCTCTGGCTCCGCCACCGGGTCGGGGATCTCGGCCGACACGAACTGGTCGATTGTGTCCGTCCGCGGCTTATCTTCGGGGTCGAGCCAGATAATAATGTGCGCCTGTGGCAGACCGTCTCCTGGGCCAACAAGTTATTACGTGCGCATACCGTAATACGTCGTGATCTATTTCACACAAGAAATAATCGGATCCGCATTCCAGGTCATTCCAGATCTGTACCTGTAGTGTACTGATTGTCCGCCGCGTCTTTTCGTTAACCTGCGTATCTGTTCGTCTTTTTGACACACACGCGGGTCGTCCGAAAAGACACACACGCGGGTTGTCAAAAAGACGAACAGATTGCCTTAAAGTACGAACGTTGCCTTAAAGTCCCACAGGCATGCCTCCTCTGATCGCGCCGCGAGGTCTGGCTGTGATGATCGGAGTTTGGTCAGGATTTTGGCTGGAACGTCGACCCCGTGATACTGGCCGTCAGTGCATATGGCGGAGAGCTTTCTTGTTTCTTTCACTCCGACTGAAGCCGCCGTTTTCAGCCACTCTTCCGCCAGTCCATGACTATCGTGCTTCTGCACAACCGGCGAACCCACCACAGAAGGCTGGATGAGACTGCTTCACGTTGACATCAGTTCTTTACCCATAGCAACTGGGACCAGAAGTGCCTTTGAACTTACTTCTGTTGCCAATCAGTTCTCAACCGACAGCAACTGGGCGGCTGGCATTGTACTCGCCTTTGACATTACCCTCACTTTGCTGCGTTACTGCAGGGCCTTGAGCACATTTCCTAGGCGACATACGTTCGTCATACGTGATTAAATAGGAGAACTCCCAGCGCTGCATATGAACGGGAGGGACAGACGTGATCTGGGAAAGACGTTTGGTCTTGATCTGGGAAGGACGGACAGTTAGTTATGAGATATTTCTGTAGAGGATTTGGCGATGAAAGCTTCTTTAATTGTCCATAATTTTATCAACACATCGATCACGCAGGTCAGCTTACGCCATCCCTGTCACACCATTTACGTCATCTCTTTCTCACACCATCTGTTGCGCACACTGCTTTTATTCCGTCACGCACACTATTTCTGTTTTTATACTTTTTTACTTTTTACTTACTCAACGACTATCATTCTCGCCCTCTTTCTCGCACTATCTGTCACGCACACTACTTCCGGGCGAACTTAAGGGGCGCGTTAGTTTGCAGATACTGGGCCATGGCTGAAACTATCGCCCTAGTACCCTGTGAAGTCAGATGAACCCCATCTCGTAAAAAATAGTGCGGGTTAGCACGGAGCGTCTTCCCAGCTTCCTCGAATCTCGCCCTTGCCCTGCACGCTTTTGAAACCGTTCCCACTCTTTGCCGCATGTTGTAGAGTGGGCATGTGGGGATGGACGGACGCGGAAAAGGATTTATAAATAATAGGGGAGGTACCAATGCCGTTCGATCGCCTTCAATCCCTCGTCCACGAAAAGACGCTTTGCTGGCATGATAACGTGTTGTCCTGGTCATTGCCCACACTCATGCTAGCTAAATATATATAATACAACAGTGAGGCATTCCTTAGAAAGCCTGTACACGGTTAAAAATACGTCCTTTGACCTCCTCAATAAAATTGTTAGGATTGACCTTATCCTCATAATATTAGTGAAATTAATTACTAACATTATTAGCATAAGGCCAATCGTAACATTTTTATTGATAGTCATCATACTAAAAGAAACGTTGTATCACATACAACTTTGACCTCCTCAATGGCCCCTGTGGCTGGTTCCCCGACACCCGATAAACTGATGAAGGGCGCGCACCATCTCGGTACATAAGTTTAAATGTTGTTCGCCCTGCTCCACCGACCGCTCCATCTCGGTACATAAGTTTAAATGTTGTTCTCCCTGCTCCACCGACCGCTCCAGGCTCCTCGCCATACTGGTCTCACTCTCGGCCATGGCCTCGAGCACCTGGCCATCGCGCTCGACGCTGGCCTCCAGCAGAGTAACCAGCCTTTCCACCGGCTCTGACTGGCTCCTACCGGCTCTGGCTGGCTCCTACCGGCTCTGCCACTGGCTCCTACCGGCTCTGGCTGGCTCCTACCGGCTCTGGTTCGCTCTTACCTGCTCTGACTGGCTCCTACCGGCTCTGGCTGGCTCTTACCGGCTCTAGCGCTTGGCTGAGTCCTGTGGACGGCCAGCGAATCTGCTGAGCTGCACAGCTGGCACGCACATCGATTAATCAGCCTCTGTGACACTGCTAGTGCTGCTGCTGCCAATTCCATCGCCGCCGACACCGATCCTGGAACCGCCGACACGGCCGACGCTTGCAGGATATACAACAAGGAGATATAACGTTTCCCACACTGAAGGATATGGCCGCATTGAATCAGTTATCAGAACACAACATAAAATAGATATGCCAGTTAATCATATAACACAAAATAAGGTTGATGGACCTGTCAGACCTGTACACAACGACAAAGGTGGCTCAAAGCCTACGATAACTGCGCGTCCATCTCAGGGCATAGATGGCGCCACCGAAGAATGTGAGAACGAAATTATGGCACACCCTGTACACATCGTAAAACACAGCCGTGGCATGCCAGGTGTAGGCGCTCAGCACGGCAGGTTGTGTGCTATTGGTTAAAGTGTATGTAGTTTCATGCAATGCATCAAAACAATATTCATCTTTCCTAAGCATATCACAACCAGAATATGCGGCGTGGCAACACTTGTATTGAGCATGCGTGGATCGGGAAATAATATTTCTCACCTTACATATTTCTCAACGACTATCATTCTCGCCCCCTTTCTCACACCATCTGTCACGCACACTGCTTTTATTCTGTCCCGCACACTATTTCTGTTTTTATACTTTTTACTTTTTACTTACTCAACGACTATCATTCTCGTCCCTTTTCTCGCACTGTCACGCACTACTTCGGGGCGAACTTAAGGGGCGCGTTAGTTTGCAGGTACTGGGCCATGGCTGAAACTATCGCCCTAGTACCCTGTGAAGTCAGATGAACCCCATCTCGTAAAAAATAGTGGGGGTTAGCACTGAGCGTCTTCTCAACTTCCTCAAATTTCGCCCTCGCTCTGCACGCCTTTGAAGCTGTCCCCACTCTTTGCCGCATGTTGTAGAGTGGGCATCTGGGGATGGACGGACGCGGAAAATGATTTATCAATAATAGGGGAGGTACCTGTAGTGTATTGATTGTCCGCCGCGTCTTTTCGTTAACCTGCGTGTGCGTATCTGTTCGTCTTTTTGACACACACGCGGGTCGTCCGAAAAGACACACATGCGGGTTGTCAAAAAGACGAACAGATACGCAGGTTAACGAAAAGACGCGGCGGACAATCAATACACTACATCTGCCTCTCCCTTTTAAGCCAACCACTAGAAACCAAACCGGTCGGGCGGTTTCACAATTCTCCCACATCTCATCCTCGT